CAGTGTATATGTATCATTATCTATCGTTTAAATGTCCAGTCATGTGCAACCATCCATGTAGGATTAACAGGACCTACTATGTTTTTTTAAGTGAGTCAAGATACTTTCGTGGGATGAACAAGACAATAACAAGGTACAATTGTTCCAGGGGGGTACATCAATGGCTTTACTCCAGTCACAAATCCTAAAATTAGTGGTGCCATCAGTGAAAGGCAAGTTGTTTATCATAGGAAAGTTAATTTGACTCCATCAAGCGTTGAAATTCAAATGAAACTAGCTGTTTGCTGGTTTATAACTGTCTGAGCACTACCCCCACTCCCACCCCTACCCCCTCCAAGTCAAGGAGAGTTTCTTTCAATGCGCTATTAGAGATAAAACAAATATACATTTACAATAAAATAGTTTCATGTTGAGCTAACATAATCAATTTTTCCAGCAGTAATTGTGCTTTTCACAAAATTATGCGCAAGCATTTCCGATTTCAGTGCCACCTGGTATTGATCCTATGTCAGCTGCAGGCAACGACAAGTGAGTAGGATGACAATCAGAGAAACAGGTGATTGGGGGAATTACACACTTTGCTTCACAACTAATTATGTAAAAATGAAATATTAGTGCAAGTGCCACAAATGGTATTGTCCTGAAGTGTTGTCATTTATCATATTAGGAGCTGATTATGACAATAGAAGTGGTATTAGTGGATGGCAATTGCACTTAATGTTTGTTGAGCAGCAATAACCAAACAAACATAGTCCCACTTTGAAACAAATGGCAATATTCAATCTCATGTCAGAGATGGAGGAGGAAGCTTTGACATTGAAAGGACATTCAAGGTTATTCACGATTACAATCATTGCTGTTACTCACAAGTGCAAAGGCAAAAGCAATCCCCAATGTCAGACAATTATGAAAGAAATAGACAATTTTATATTTGCATTCTTATGAAATCTGTCACTCCAAATTGCTGCAAATATCCCCATTACTTCCTGATGGTCAGAATAACAGGTCAGTCTCCTGTAACAAGCACTCCTTGTTTGGTGCATGAGTTAAATCCCCATTACTGTGAACACCCACCATGACCTTCATCTCTGACAAGTTATTATTAGTTTTAATTTACATGTGACTGTAAAAGAGACATGCAATATCAATGGAATACAAGCTTGCAGAACCAAATTGTAATTTTTGAAATAAGTCTTGCTTATAGTAACATTTCGGTGTGGGTTCTAACACCTGGCTCTGCTGCCTGTATATATACTTGTCAACCATACTGTGTACATCACTGCCTTGATAATGGTGTTAGAACCAACATCGAAATGTCGAACCTAATTGTAAGAATAAAGTTGTTCAACCATATATCCTATCCATACTTGGTTAACAGTATATTAAGATACAAGTGTAATAGAGAACAGTGATGATTGTAGGGGTTGTGTCAGAATAAATACACTGGTCACTTTGTGAACCCACCTCTCTCTGTTCCCACAGCTCTTCATATACCGGCATCACATTTCATCAGTCTCAAACAAGTCAGTATTTCTAAAATTGAAAGTTGTTTTGAATTTTGAATGATGTCAGTAAATGTTGCTGTACATGAATGTCAGCAATATGACAATACACACACCGCCCCCACCCTGGGGTGCCAGTGAGTGTTGCTGTACATGAATGTCAGCAATATGACAATACACACACCTCCCCCATCTGAGGGTGCCAGTGATAGCTGCTGTACATGAATGTCAGCAATATGACAATACACACACCTCCCCAACCCTGGGGTGCCAGTGAGTGTTGCTGTACATGAATGTCAGCAATATGGCAATACACTCACCTCCCCAATCTGGGGTGCCAGGGAATGTTGCTGTACATGATTGTCAGCAATATGACAATACACACACCTCCCCCACCCTGGGGTGCCAGTGATAGTTGCTGTACATGATTGTCATCAATATGACAATACACACACCTCCCCCACCCTGGGGTGCCAGTGATAGTTGCTGTACATGAATGTCAGCAATATGACAATACACACATCGCCCCCATCTGGGGTGCCAGTGATAGTTGCTGTACATGATTGTCAGCAATATGACAATACACACACCTCCCCCACCCTGGGGTGCCAGTGATAGTTGCTGTACATGATTGTCAGCAATATGACAATACACAGACCTCCCCCACCCTGGGGTGCCAGTGATAGTTGCTGTACATGAATGTCAGCAATATGACAATACACACACCTCCCCAATCTGGGGTGCTAGTGATAGTTGCTGTACATGAATGTCAGCAATATGACAATACACACACCTCCCCCACCCTGGGGTGCCAGTGATAGTTGCTGTACATGAATGTCAGCAATATGACAATACACACACCTCCCCCATCTGGGGTGCCAGTGATAGTTGCTGTACATGAATGTCATCAATATGACAATACACACACCTCCCCCAATCTGAGGGTGCTACTGATAGTTGCTGTACATGAATGTCATCAATATGACAATACACACACCTCCCCAATCTGGGGTGCCAGTGAATGTTGCTGTACATGAATTTCAGCAATATGACAATACACACACCTCCCCCACCCTGGGGTGCCAGTGAATGTTGCTGTACATGAATGTCAGCAATATGACAATACACACACCTCCCCAGTCTGAGAGTGCCAGTGATAGTTGCTGTACATGAACGTCAGCAATATGAAAATACACACACCTCCCCAATCTGGGGTGCCAGTGAATGTTGCTGTACATGAATTTCAGCAATATGACATCACACACCTCCCCCACCCTGGGGTGCCAGGTAATGTTGCTGTACATGAATGTCAGCAATATGACAATACACACCTCCCCCACCCTTGGGCGCCAGTGAATGTTGCTGTACATGATTGTCAGCAATATGAAAATACACACACCTCCCCCACCCTGGGGTGTCAGTGAATGTTGCTGTACATGAACGTCAGCAATATGACAATACACACACCTCCCCCATCTGGGGTGCCAGTGAATATTGCTGTACATGAATGTCAGCAATATGACAATACACACACCTCCCCCACCCTTGGGCGCCAGTGAATGTTGCTGTACATGATTGTCAGCAATATGAAAATACACACACCTCCCCCACCCTGGGGTGCCAGTGATAGTTGCTGTACATGATTGTCAGCAATATGACAATACACACATCGCCCCCATCTGGGGTGCCAGTGAATGTTGCTGTACATGAATGTCAGCAATGTTACAGCTTCATTAATACATTTTAGTGGGCCTAGGGAACACAGTGGTCAGTTGTGTGAAATGATGAAATGACTACACATCATTTGCCAGGTGATGACTGACAGATTGTCCTACCTATACCACTGTGCTGTCTCTTGTCAGCAGCCAACTGTGGGTGTAGAGAGAGTCAAGTGTATAACTATGAACTGGCAAAGGTTCTTGGGATGTATACTTTGTCCAATACTTTACTCAATGTGATATATGTCTGTCAACACTTTACTCAATGTGATATATGTTTGGCAACATTTTACTCAATGTGATATATGTCTGGCAATACTTTACTCAATGTGATATATATCTGGCAACACTTTACTCAATGTGATATATGTCTGTCAACACTTTACTCAATGTGATGATATATGTTTGGCAACATTTTACTCAATGTGATATATGTCTGGGAATACTTTACTCAATGTGATATATGTCTGTCAACACTTTACTCAATGTGATATATGTCTGTCAACACTTTACTCAATGTGATATATGTCTGGCAACACTTTTCCAATGTAATATATGTTTGGCAACACTTTACTCCATGTGATATATGTTTGGCAACACTTTACTCAATGTGATATATGTTTGGCAACACTTTACTCAATGTGATATATGTCTGTCAACACTTTACTCAATGTGATATATGTCTGTCAACACTTAACTCAATGTGATATATGTTTGGCAACACTTTACTCAATGTGATATATGTCTGGAATTATGTTTGTATTTGTTCTTATGTGGTTAATTCATCGGAATTCCTAGCTCTAGTTCATAACCTGATTCCAGCTACTTGGAGCCAAGATATAATCCAGTATATAATTGCTCCTTACACAAGAGTCACACTGTGATAATGAGTACTCAAATACATCAGTGCAATTCCTTTCCTTGTTAACTTGAAAAGCCAGTTTTTGATGACAAAGTAGATGGGCCAGAGTGAGTGAGTGAGTGAGTGAGTGACACCCACATCCCATTTCAACCCCCTAAAGAAGTATTAGGGAACACATGTTGACGATGACTCAGTATTCCCTCACAGTGTTGTCTGTGGCTTGCAGAAATTCAGCGACTTCTTATAAAACTCACTTTAATGCCAAAGTGGCATTATTACAAGCTTGAATCTAGATGATGTAGATATTCAACAGTATCCCCGAGGCAGAGTATGGCCTTATTGCAGTCCAATGGTGGGACATACCCTGGGGAGGCAGTCATCAGTAGGTTTAGATCCACCTCACTAATCTCATTACCTTCAGGCTCTCACCAAGTAGGTCACAGATGTACAGGTAGAAATCTGATCACACTTACTGAATAATTCTCATCATTCAAAATATAGACAGCTGGCAACAGGTTTTCCAATATGTATATTTATGTGTGTAAATATATATACTGCTGTATGGCTGCCTTCACACATATAACAAGTGTGTGCGAAAACAGCAAGGAGCAAATACAACACATAATGGCCAACACAAATCAAAACCAGCAGCAACCATGCAAATAACTGACTAAATAATAGCTGTCAATAGTTTACAGTCATGTGTCAAAATAAGGAATTGACCATAAGCTGCGAGTTAATAACAGAACAATGTATTGTCATATGTCACATAGGTACAATAACCTGGAGGGAATGTGTTATACTTCAAACCAAACTACAATCTAATGAAATATAAACTTCACAAGGTTTATGTAGTCAGATGTAACTTCTTCAGAAAGTTATAGAAACTACAAATATCAGAAAAGTTATAATACTCACTTGATATTAAACATTTTATCCACGAAGCTTTTCATAAACTCCATACACTCCAAAGTAATCTCATCCGGTTGGCTGTCAACACTATAGTTTGAGCTCCACGACTTTTCCGACCCCATGGATTGAGAGCGATGAAGTTGCACACCTCCGAACTCTGCATCTGAAGAGTCCACGCTTGTCATAGCATAATTGTGAGTATCATATTCCGGCTCTGATGACTCAACACTACTTTGACTTGGATGTTTACCTCTACGCTCAGTATCTTCATGGTCAAATGACATTAGATCGCCTGCAGGTGCAGTCACTTGATCAGAAAATACCGAGTCCCCATTAGTTTCCAGTTCGACATAATCATCAAACAGCATCTCATCAACCGTGCTAGATCTACGTTTAGTTGTAAGTTTTGGAGCTTTGCGGTGTTCACTTCTGATTTCTGAGTTTTGACTGTTAGGAGGAGAGACAGAGGCTGAGGGTCCCTCCGAGTCCCCATATCCTGTTTCGTCTCTTGAGTCGGATGCAGCAACGGGTATCACTCTCCTTTCCGGCCTCCCATTATCGGACCTGGCGACATTATCTGAACTCTGACCCACTGGTACCTCACGTTGATTATATAAAGGTTCATCAAAACTTACGTTCATCCCATCCATTGTAAACTGATCATCAACTGAACTTGTGTCGGAGAAACCAGACAAACTTCCTGCCCTTTGCGGGTGTCTTGAATCCCTAAAAGACATTTTGGTAGCCACATTCTCACGCTCCTTCATCCCTTTGCCAAAACTGAGTGACCGGTGTGTGTTGGTGATCGGTGGTGGTCGTGGGGGTGGGGTGCGAGGGGGTGGGCTAGAGGTGGGACTGGAGTTCTCGCTACTCGCACTACTGCTTGCCCCACTCTTCATCAGGGAGTCAAATTTGGACGACATATCACTGAAAAGTCCATTCTTCTTGGCAATCATTGATGTGAAGAATTTGGAGGTTCCATCACTAAAACTTGACGAGAGGGATTTCTTATCGTCTTCACTCGTCCGCCGACCACTTGAACCAATATCCATTTTGATTTCCTTGATTGAAAACGTACGCCTCTTTCAGCCACTCATGCAAGAATTTAAGACTAGGGTGAGCCCGTGAAGGAAATTAGCAAGATTGAAGGAGACAGTGAAACCAAGATGGCAAAGTTTGGTACGGAGGCAAGAATTCGTGCCGATTCACCAACACCGGTACCAAGGCTGTCAATTTCATGAATTTAGGTCCATGTGCCTGCGAGCCAGCTCCTACTCATCCCCCTGCCTCAACTAATCACACTGGTGGCAGCAGCAGCAGCAGCAGACGACGCAACCTTCCACAGACTCCGCTAGTTCCTCAACGCAAATCAATATCAGGCCAGCCTTGGTGAAGATTTATTCTGCCGACCAGTTGCCTGCGAATATACAATAGGGGGCGCTTTCTCATCACGGATAGCATCCAATCAATACAGTTGCAAGGCATTAGTATTTATACATTAGGCAAAAACTTACCCACAAATACCCTGGCCGGGACATTTGTCCTAGTTAGTTATATCATATGATAGAGTAAGCTGGGGATAATTGGGTATGATAATTTACAGAGATAATGTTTTCGGCATGGTCTGAAACACCAAGTGCCACTGCAGGTCGGAAAATTGTTCATTGGGGAGAGAAAAGGAGAATTTCTGATGAATAATTTAAGGAAGTGGTTGGAAATACCTGCATTGCAAACAGAACAATTTGAGAGCTTCCTACTTGTATATCGACTCATTTATATATAATTTCAGACTTTGCGTGAAATCAATACACCATTCCACATTTAGACAAGCAGAAGCCTCCAAAGTGAATTGCTGGCATCTTGGAAATGAAATAACACCTACATTCGTCTAAGTGAGGACCATGTGGGTGGTCATGGATTTTCTCCCTTAGTACAACATTTCAGAGAAAAAAAGAGTGACGTAAGATATTAATATTAAGTATACATTTATATCGTTTACATGATATAGTGTGTTTCTGTTATCTTGAATATAACATTTTAGAACATTCATATTTGAACATATGCTGAAAAACTTATGCATTAGGCCACTCATTTTTTATTTTTTGTTTCAAGGGCCTGCCGCCCCAACTGTAAAGCAGCCGGTCTGAGAAATAAATTAAACATAAAAATATTTATTTTTACCATGTCTCCCTCAAGTAATATAGAGCCTCTTTTTCAATATAAAATGTTATATATAAACTCCATGTCTACATCAGTATCAGTGATTCCATAGGCCACCAGCAGTGTTATCTCCACAGCAGAATGACTTTCATAGAAATATATTCAATAATTGACATTTATTTATACTTTTCTTATGACCAACCTTGTGCGAAAAGATGGAATAAATCTGTGGCCTTATTGCATATTGTATTTGTCTGAAACCTGCATATATCCCAATGTTATCAGAAAGTGTCTACCTATTAACTAGTACTATTCATTCCAACCTCCTAATGGGCCAATTGTAGTCATATTGATTGATTCAGGAACTTAATCCGATGGGAGTCTGTAGTCTGGTAAACAACAAATGGCCACCACTGAAGCATTAAGAAGCAATTAAGTTTTTATGTTTTATCTATACTGGACTGATAATATCATTTACACTGTTTGCAGTAATAGAAACTTACAGCACAATACCTGGCCATTTGCTTTAAATCAAAAATTGTTTGAGTTGAAGTAAACCCCTTGTATAACAGGCTTGCCACATCATATTTATATATCTCCATGTCAAAAACTCAAAGATGTCTTTACTGTGTCAGTATGCAGGCCCTTATCATGCTTATGTGATAAAACACTCCTATGAACTGCTTGTGAGGTATAAAGCAGATTTTCAAATTCAAGAATGAACAATATCTAGTTATTTAGTTGAATAATTACTTATTAGACAATGCATAGTGACCATCATCCTTGAATTCCTGCAGCACACTTTAGATTAAAGGGGGATCATAATACCATTCTTAGCACCAGAAGCACATCAATTAGGAGATAAACATACTGTGTTTTCAATGAAGAGCTAGGTTACCTGTAGATTTAACCGCGCTGAATTGAATTTTGAACCGAACATGCAGCTGTGAGCTTTCAAATTTTAATTTAGGGCGGTTAAATCTGCAGGTAACCTAGCTCTTCATTGAAAACACAGTATGTTGATCTCCATTCTACCATGACTGAATAAAACGCAAACTCTTTGGTGTTAGCATATGTATTGAGTGAAGCGGCACAGGGTGAGTCCAGTGTTTTGAGTGGGTTGTCAATCTGAATTACACACTCACAGACAACAGTTTCTAAACAAAATATGGTGCTGTATATGCTCAAGCAGTTTGTTTACACGGTAATACTTCACTCAAACATATGACAGGCACTGAAAGCATACAAGCATGGCAACTTGGTAAGCTAACATGAGGTGGGCACCCCTGAAGAAATATAAGCTAGCTTGGCAAAGTTTTCGTTCTTCACGTCACGTCACCATCATGACATCATATCGCTCATTGTGATGCAAAAGATATGACGTCACAGTCGCATATAGAAAAGCGCGAAATTCCAAGCTCTCTGTTGTCCCCAAAACTTAAAATACATTCTCTATGCAGATTTCTATTGTGTTTTCTGCATGAATGTATTGCCACACATCCTTTGAATATTGTACAAACCACCACTTTGTACTTTGTAGCCTATAACCGTATATTTAATTATTTAAATATGCCTACAGACAATGACTGAAAAAAGTACTATTCTATGGATATTAGCTTCCATGGTGAAGTGGTTGTCAAATTGGCTGTTTCTATCAGTGGGGCTTTATTGTGATTTGACAACCTCTGATTGACCAAACAGAATTGAGTAATTTCCAAATTCATGGTAGAATTGATAACAATATATGAAAATAACTGAACACATATTACAGTGAAAATATGATAGGCTACTTATAAAATGGTCTAATATGATGTCAGTATATGAAAACATGGTACATGTACTAAGAACTGGATGTACATGTCAAATGTCGGCTAAATGTGTGTGGATTGATTATATATTGAATGTGTAACAAAGGATACTTTTATTTTTACAAAAATACTTTTCATTTGTATGCTCCTCAGAAAAGTGTATTTATTATAAGCTCTTTAAATCTAATATTAACACTCAGAATGTTTTTGAGATAAATTTGACAAAAATATAGGATAGCTCCATCACAGTTTCACTGTAGCTTGCACAGATTATTGATGGAACTTGTGAGAGATGGAAACCTTAAACCAAGAGAAATGAGAATTTATGAATAATGTATCTTCATTGTGGATGAATGCCATTTCCTAGTAGTTTGTGGTAATATGTATGACTATTTAATAAGTAAATATATAAGCCAGCAGTTTCATGAAAATCCTATTTTGAACAAATTACCATCCTTCTGTCAGCTGTTCATGACAGTTGTACAAGAAGTATGTCAATGTTCAGACACTGTATATTTCTATCTTCATAAAGATGTCACTCCAATGTCTGCTTATCTCAATGTTCTGGCCCTCAATTTGGATGAAACACAAGTCAGTTGCATATAATTGATAACTTCACTGGCACAGTTCAGAGCTCAAATTTTCTCACAGCCCCTATACTCATTTTTGCAATATTATTATGATTACTGACAACAACATTTAATCCACATTTATGTTTTGCCAAATTCCAATCTTAAATATATAATGTAGTGAGTACACAAGTATTTTTAATGCCTAATCATGTACTTCATTTATACCAGACAACTGCCTGAGGGCATACAGGAAGCTGGTGCTGGTGATTTACAAAACCAACAGAGTGGTCACATACTCATGAAAGTGGATTGATTAGTGACATGACTCTACCCAAGTATATCATACTGACAAAAATATTAACGCCACAGAATAAGAAGAGTCTCGATTATCTGCTGTAATAGATTCCATCGGGTAAAACACAAAACAGCTGTGAAAATTATATGAATGGTTCACTATTATTCTGAAATATTATAATGGTCAAAATGTCATAAGCTAGGAACAGTGCAATTACACAGCCTCCATCATTTAATGGCAAAACTGCTGTATCTGGAGCTTTTTCTATGACAGAAAAAAAAGTAGGTCTACACTAGTGACACACATATAGAAAACTACACACATTAACACTACATAAACTAACCACATCAACAGTACACCATGACATATAGTAGCAAAACAATATTCACTCAAAATGTGCTCCTCATACAGTAGTACCGCATAACAGTATAATCAGCTGTATTCAACAATAATACCTACATGTGTCCATTGATGAAAACATAACAGTATGATATACACAACTCACAAATAAATCATACCTACATGTGTCCATTGATGAAAACATAACAGTATGATATACACAACTCACAAATAAATCATACCTACATGTGTCCATTGATGAAAACATAACAGTATGATATACACAACTCACAAATAAATCATACCTACATGTGTCCATTGATGAAAACATAACAGTATGATATACACAACTCAAAAATAAATCATACCTACATGTGTCCATTGATGAAAATATAACAGTATGATATACACAACTCACAAAAAAATCATACCCACATGTGTCCATTGATGAAAACATAACAGTATGATATAAACTCACAAATAAATCATACCCACATGTGTCCATTGATGAAAACATAACAGTATGATATACACAACTCACAAATGAATCATACCTACATGTGTCCATTGATGAAAACATAACAGTATGATATACACAACTCACAAATAAATCATACCTACATGTGTCCATTGATGAAAACATAACAGTATGATATACACAACTCATGCAAAATTTATTGTTTGGCTGCTTGGCTCCTGAGAGTTTCTAGGACATTTGTTCAACCAGCAGTTAATGTGACACCAGTAGCATGACATGGTAATATGAATATTAGATGATTATTATCATTATTATCATCATCAGCTCAGTACCACATTAGTGTCAAAAGGGACAGAGAATTCAATGATATAAATGATTTCATTCGATTTATCAAAAAAGACAATATCGGGTTTGTTGGCCTTGATAGGTCTGAAGCTGTATACAGGCCTATTCCAAAGAATGTTGTATTTATCATGTTCAATGACGCCCTCTACATATTCTGGGTTGTACCATGGATGGACCTCGTGTCAAAACCACAAGCATGGGAAAGACGGTAATAAAAGAGATTGACCCAAATCTGAACTCCCAAAAGTGGGTTTTTTATAAGACCAGAGCATGTGATCAATGCAGTAATACAATCACCTGTTGTTTTCCTTCCTGCCTGGCATGACATTAAAATGGGTAAATAATGCTTGACCATATTGCTTGTTGTGTGACTTTCCTAACAGCTTACTTGAACATTTCACGCGGTACTGATGAGTTCAA